AATTTTCATTTTTGGGTGAACTAACCCTTTAAGATCTTTCAAGGTAAGACACTACAGTCAAAAGCATAATTTTTTCATGCATTCGTTAATTTTGTGATTTTGGGCTTTTTGGCTTTCATAAAGTGTGGTTTCAGACTAGTGGAAGGAAAACATCCAAAATACCCTTTTAAGTGTTTATTTTATTGCACTTTACTTTATTGCCATTTTCTCAAAATGAGTTTGTTTCTCCACTTCAGCAGCACTTACATGCACTAAACTTAGCAATCTATATTCTGAAGGTTTTTACGTTCACATAACATTCGCCTGGTATTATACAACATTTCATTCCTAAAAACATGGTGAATTTATTTTTATTTTTTCCTGGCTATTTTCTCATTTGTCCAGTGATAAAAAGAGAAATCCAAAATCCTTTCTATAAAGATTATAGACAGGAATAAAACTGCAAAATTTGGTATATGTAGCCTAAGTGATGCTGTAGTGAAAAAACAAATTAATTTTGGCCTTTAAAGATATAGATTGCTATTGACATCTACAGTCGCAAATAGATGAAGTGCAATAAAATAAACACTACAAGAATTCTGAACTTTGAAATTTGGCTTTTTCCGATGTTCAGATTTATGTTCTGAAAAATTATGCGAATGTGTGCATATTTAATTAGTGCCTCGTTTGCATCAATATGTTCTCTAAATGTAATTGTCTAGGGAGCACACAATGAGTATATTTGTCTTGTTTTCTAGTGCATTTTCATATGTAAACAAAACGTTTTATAAAAACTCGTAATATGAAATGTTTTTGCACTTGTTAATGTAATCAAAACACACACAAAAAAACATGTTTTGATGAGGTTTTTTTTGTCTATAATCTGAAACAACAATAATATTGGGCACCACTGACATCTCTTCTGTTTGACAAAAAGTCAAAGGTTTGGATTTACAAGAGGGTCATTATTTCATTATTCATTTAAAGGATGGCATCGGTCTGCTGATTGCAGCGTAAAACCAGGAAAACTTCCTCCATTAAGTGCTTAGTTTAATCCACTTATGGACGGCAAGCCATTGATAAAAGCAAAATTCAGCTGAGCATTAAAAACAACAGTAGGGAATAACCCCCTCAGGAATAAGACCTTAATTATCCTCGAGCCCATGTGAGGTGGACCTCCGCTGACCGGGAATGTCACACACACCCAATTCACATATGAGCATATAGTGCTTGCTGTACAGGATTTCCCCAATTATACTGAAATAAAGGTTTTATTGTACTGTTTAAACACGTTCTTATTGTCCATCCGGAACAATTCACTGCTTTTATAAGACCACCACTACAGCCACACTCATTCAGAATGAGCCACATCTCATCCAAAAATGAGACACCCAACGCAATCTTATGCAACGTCCACCAAGAAACACGCGCAATATTGTGGTTAGCTGAGATCCTAATTATACTGAACGTCCTTAACACACACACAAAAAAACATGTTTTGATGAGGGTTTTTTTGTCTATAATCTGAAACAACAATAATATTGGGCACCACTGACATCTCTTCTGTTTGACAAAAAGTCAAAGGTTTGGATTTACAAGAGGGTCATTATTTCATTATTCATTTAAAGGATGGCATCGGCAGAATCGGTCTGCTGATTGCAGCGTAAAACCAGGAAAACTTCCTCCATTAAGTGCTTAGTTTAATCCACTTATGGACGGCAAGCCATTGATAAAAGCAAAATTCAGCTGAGCATTAAAAACAACAGTAGGGAATAACCCCCTCAGGAATAAGACCTTAATTATCCTCGAGCCCATGTGAGGTGGACCTCCGCTGACCGGGAATGTCACACACACCCAATTCACATATGAGCATATAGTGCTTGCTGTACAGGATTTCCCCAATTATACTGAAATAAAGGTTTTATTGTACTGTTTAAACACGTTCTTATTGTCCATCCGGAACAATTCACTGCTTTTATAAGACCACCACTACAGCCACACTCATTCAGAATGAGCCACATCTCATCCAAAAATGAGACACCCAACGCAATCTTATGCAACGTCCACCAAGAAACACGCGCAATATTGTGGTTAGCTGAGATCCTAATTATACTGAACGTCCTTAACACAATTTACCCAAGCAACAAAACTAGGTAATGTTATTTATGATATAAATGCTAGTTCAGAAGATGTTGTGTTTTTTGCTTTAACTTTTGGTTTTTGATATCAATCCAATTTTAGTATCACTGTACAGTACAAATATCTAAAATTCTTAAATCAAGGTTTACTTTAGAAGCAAAATGACTTAAGAAGGTAATTAATTAGGTATTAACTGTTTTTTTTTTCTAAAAAACATAAAAATGAAGTGGGTTTTTGTTTAAAAACAAGAAAAAAAATCTCTTCCAATGGGGTCAGAAAAATAATTATAATTTAAAAAATTAAAAAATTAAAAAAATTTAATTTTGATATTTTTCAGAAAACAAGACCTAATATCTTAAATCATTTAACTTCTCAAGTACATGTATTTTGATTCAAGGTTGTTTAGATATTTGTACTGGAAAGCAAGACAAAAATAATAAAGAAATACTTTTTTTTTTTTTTTTTTTTTTTTTTTGGTTTAGTACTTTGTTAGTTTTTATTCATATTTTTAATTAATTCTTATCTTTAGATTTTCAATTTAATTTACATTTTAGTTAAAGTTTAAGTAATTTGTCTTTTTTTTTTTTTTATAAATTTTTTATTTAATTTTTTGTTATTTTAGTACAACAAGTTAAATGAAAATGAGAAATGTTGAAAAAAAAAGATTTTTTATTTTATTGTCACACTTTAATATAAGGTCAAATTCGTCAACATCAGTTAATGCATTAACTAACATGAAATAACAACCAGCAATGCATTTGTTACAGTATTTATATTTGTTAACGTCGGTTAATAAAAACATCATAAATGTTCATGTTAATAAATGTTCAGTCGATTAAAATTTTTTATTTATTTTAATAATGCATTGGTAAATGTTGAAATTCAAATGAACTAAGATTAATAAATGCTTTAGAAATATTTTTCATTGTTAGTTTATGTAGTCAGCTATTATTAACCAATGGAACTCTATTGAAAAGTATTACCGTTTTTTTAACAGTTTAATAGTTCAAATTGTTCTAATACTGCATTTTTCCGCCTCATTCTTCATAACTTCAGTCAGATCAGTTACGTGCTGATCGTGAGTGAATCCTCAGCTGGACTGAGGTCTGGACTCTGACGTTGTTGTTTTTCTGTGCCGTGTTGGCTTCATGTTTGAGAGCATCGTCTTGCTGGAAAGCAAATCTTCTCCCGAGCTGCAGGTGCAGAATCCATCAGCTTTTCTTCATGCTTCATTCAGCCCAGATATCATGTGACATCTTATTAATAGTGCTTTTCTCTTCCACAAACTCTTACTCATCCAGGGTTTTGTTTACGCCACAATCATTGGAAATCCCTTGACTACACACACAAGATCTCCGTTTACCTTCTTTAGTATAAGCTCTAAAACCAAATGAGCGCACCAGCGATACCATTTCAGTACATTTTGACATTAAAGAGTCTTTTTCTGTTGCTCAGTGGCCAAAATAAGACCACAAGGCTGGAAGAGTTACATGAGCCAAACTTTATGTGGCTTCGTTCTGAGAAATGCGCTCGATATCATTACACCTCACATGTAGTTCATGCACTGGGGGTTTAGAAAGAGCTACAACTAACTGTCTGTTATGGAAGAAGCTTTGAGCACCATACGAATCAACTAAACCTTCAAAAAACAGAAAGAAAGGAAGGTCAGACTCGCACCTCGTAATGGTAGTCCATGCAGGTGAGCTCCCTCCAACAGCGGTCACCTCTGATCTTGATCAAACCCTGCGAACGATGGAAATAAGGACGATGCAATCAGTAATAATATTTCAAAGACACCGCAATCAATGACATTTTGCTCAAATGACATTTATACACTGTAACATTTCAGTTTTTAAAAAACATCTAACTGTAATCTCTCACTCTATATCTCCAGTAACATGTCTCAGTAAAATGAGATTGAAATGCTCCAAACATATAATGCAGTGATTGAGAGCTGAAGAAATAAAGGCTCCTCAGAAGATGTGAGATGTTCTGGATTTATGCATGACTGACAAAAAGCATCACATAAAGTTTATTAGTATGTTAAAACTGTGTAATCCGAATGGATGAAAAATGTTTTATTCAATTCAAATACATAAATCTTCAAATTAGGCCTAAATATTTTTGAGTGTAAAAATTACATTAAATAGACATTCAATTCTATTCAAATACATAAATAAATAGATCATATAAATACATTAAAAACATCATTCTTAAATTTAGGCTTAAATATTTTTGGAGTGCAAAAATTACCTAAAAACTAAATATTGAAATGAATATACTGTAACTATGCAAAATTAAATTTAAAATAACATAAGATGAATAAGAAATTTGATTTCTAAATATCTCTTGAATTTCAATGTCTCAACATTAAAGACATTTTGTCTCCAAATTCATCACCGGTAAAAAATATTCAAGCAAAAAAAATAAAAAAAAATTTAAAAAAATAATAATGTTTCTGTAGCAAAGGTCTTGCATATCTATTCAAGAATATGTTGTGTACAGCAGTCAATTCTTCAAATCCTAATATAAAACAACAGTATCTCTCTCTACAGCAGTACAGAAATGATCATACAGCAGGTAACACAAGGGCAATTTCTCCTCATTTCAATTTTGACCAAATAATCTAAAATGTAATTGTCTGTAAAATGTATCATGCACGAGAGCATACAAGTATGCTGTATTACTGTAGAAGCACACAGGTGCATGTGACAGGCGTTTGACCAGACGTTCCTTCCACACTATCAGATGGGCGCTTGCTTGCAGCTGAATTAAAACCTCATTAACATCTGTTCGCTGCAATTCACTTCTATAAAAGTTTAGCTGACAGGAGACAAAAAGGCCAAGGAGAGTTTCTGCTGCCCATTCTTGACACAGCCGTAAGGAACGCCAAAAACTCCTGCCAACCATCCGAAAGAGGAAATGTCAAACACACACACACACACACACACACACACACACACACACACACACACACACACACACACACACACACACACACACACACACACACACACACCCTCACGCACACTCACACTCACTCACACACACTCACTCACACTCACACACACACACACACGTCTGAAACAGGAGAAATGTGCATGAAAACAGGAGGCACTCAGGTAGACTAAAGCAAAGCAGAATGTCTCTTTCTGAATCTGCACACAAACTGAACGCAGTGCACTGTTTTATGTAATCCGTGCATGAAAAATAATAACCAACTGCATTTCAAACTTATTCACATCCAGATCTGGACAATTACAGACTTAGACTATTAAGGGTGGAAATGTCAAAGACCTCTACGACCAGAAAAACATGGAAAATGCATGGATATAAACAACACATTTGAAACCCCAAAGCGTATTTGAATTCTGCAGTATCATAACTCACAATAAATAATTATAAGTTGCAACATATGTATGTCGACAACATATGTCTTTCATTCACAAACTCATTAAAAAAAACAAAAAGATAAATAACACAACAAAATATCTATGCACTAATAATTTGAGGTTAATTTAACAATTAAGAGAAATTCAAAATGTTAACTGAGCTGCCCAGACAATAATGCAATCTGATTAATTGACTAAAGAATAAATGTGGGGAATGCTTGCTTTAACGGACTTTAACAAATGTAGAAGCTTGGGTAAAGTCAGTTTTAATAGTGAGATCTACAAAGACTAAACAGTAAAAATCTTAAAATGTGAAACCACATTCACAACCTATTTTACTTCTGTAATGTGAGATGTGTTCATCAGAAAAGAATTGCACTCTTAAAAATGAATTTTTTCTATAAAAAAATAAAAAAAATGGGCCCAGACTATTTATTAAAAAATAAAAACATTAAAACTTAAGTGCTGTCATAATTTATTGTTAACTAAAACTGAAAAAAATAAATAAATGAAATCAAATAAATTATATAAATACATTTCAGCTTGCAAAACCAACATTTAGATTTTCATTTAACTTGATTTAACAAACTTAAATAAAAATGAAAACAAACTATATAAAACATACATATATATGGATGTACATTATATATATATATATATATATAAACAAAAAAGAAAACGACAAAAAATGACAAAAACACACTACAAAATTACTAAAAAAAGAAAACATAAAAATAAAAACGGATTCAAATTATTAATAAAAACTAACAAATAAAATAACACTTTTTTTTAGGTCCATACAATGTCGCCAAATCTGTTTGTACACAACTGTACGCAACTTCTTTTGTGTTGTTAAAGAAAGTTCAACAGGTTTTGCAATGACATATGAGGACGAGTAAATGACAATATTCATTTTTGAATGAACTGTCCCTTTACGATCACGTAAAAACACAAATAATTTGTCTAATTGTGGATGCTTGCAGCGCCAAAAGACAATCTGAGGTTGAGTGAGATAAACTTAAGCAACTCTTACAACAGTGTCTTACAATTGAACTTCTTTAGCCTGATACAGCATTCCAAAAACGGAATTAAATTATTAAATTAATTCGATTTAATTAAATTGATTTAAGAAGATTTAATTAAATCTAAAGGCAACTCCGGAGAGATAGCTGACAAGGCATCAGATATCTAATCCCTCGAGATTATCTGGACTATTTTTCTCCATCTAGTCTGTATTAACAATCTTATTTGTTTAGTGACTTTTTAAGCAACGGCTGCAAACTCCAAATAAATCTTCAAGGCGGACGACTAATGAATATGAGCAGATGGACGGGACGCTTGAGAACATTTCCAACACGAGCGCTCGGACTCCTGATGGAATAATGTGTGAACTTCAGTCGCTAAGTGAAAAGATTCCCTCCAACAGATAATAAAGGTGTGGAGCCCAGGGAATCCAGTCAGAAACCCGAGCCTGGAGTCTGAAGGGTTTGAAAACCCTCCCTGGCTGAGAAGCGGAGAAAAAGAATGACAGCTTGGCCACTGGTTCCAGCTCAGACCTTGAGTCCACTACATTCACAAACAGCTGGCCTTTCCTTCACTGCTTCTCGGGAGAGAGAACATCTTGTGACATGCTAAACAGCGCTCTGGTCATTTGGAGAGCACAGCAAATTACTGCAAAGCGCTGGTGCTAATGAATGTTTTGCCACAACAGTTTTGATTTAATTGCACTGTTAAAACGGCAAGAAGCAAGCACTTGGCGAATTAAAGCCTGCGCTTGTGTAACAGAAGTTAAGAAAGCGGATCCAGCAACTACAAGACAGGGTTATTACAGGTAACTAAATCCATTAAGAAAACACTGGTATTACCTGATATGTAATAAAAATTACCTACAAAAAATTACTTATTTTATTTGAGCTAGTTGCCAAGGCAACATTTCTCATTTTCACTTTAACTCAAAGTACAAAAAAAACTCAAATGAAATAAACGAATTAATAGAAATGAATAAGAACTACACAGACGTTTTAAAAAAATTATAAAGATTAAAAAAAAAATGTATTAAATATTTAACTGAAATTAAAATAAAAACTTTATCTCTCTAAAGTATCATACACACAGGAGACGGGCGAGAGAATCGCTCCAGCATCTCATTGCTATTTTTACACCCCCTAATCAGATTTCTAGACACAATTATTTGGTTTGGGACTGAATAATTCATTGCATCTGCAGCGCCGCTGATTGCATTTGAGTCTTGGGAGAAGAACAGAAGATTCTGCATATTTGAGACGCCGCCATGTACTCTTTGCACTTAATTTAGTTTACTGCTAACTCAACTGGAGAAGTTTTTGCATGGCACTCCTATCCAAATAAAATTAAAACAGATTACCAATTTAACACTCACACTCAAGATACTGTTCATTAAAACAAATGACAAAATGTAATTGTATATTGAATGTCTTAGAGGTGTACATCAGATGATTTGACATTGATTGTCTTTGATATTTGCCAATACCTCAAATCACGTCACAATCAGATTTAAACAGATTCAGGAGTCTGTGATCAATATATTGATTATATGTTATCATGTGCCTATTTTACATAAACTGTTACTTTTGTATTAATCCACAAATGCAACCGAAATATAACATGAACATTTAATTGAATCTCTGAAAACTGCAAATCCTATACGGAAGCTTGTTTCTGCCACGAGATGAAAAATTATAAAAAGTTTAATGTAAAAAACTTATCACAGTTCGGACTTATCCCCTCAGAATTATGAAGGGGGAAAAAAGGCAGATTTGTGAGATATTAACAACAAATTGCAAGGGGAAAAAATCTGAATTTTGAAATATACAGAAAGAAAAAAAATTATCTAAATTTTTTCTTGCAATTATGAGTCTATATCTTTTTATGTCACATAATTATAATTGACCAAAGCATCACATTTTTCTTAAGTGGAGGAACTGGGCTTCTACATAAAAGTCAATGAAATGTTGTAGGTGTGATATGTGAGATATAAACTACAAATTGCAAGAAAAAAAACTGAATTTTGAAATGTACAGAAAGAAAAAATGCAATTATGCAATTATGAGTTTATTTCTCACAATTTTGTCTTTTTCCCCTCACTATTCACTGACTTTCTTTCTATGCATTTCTGACTTTTTTTTTTTTTTTAATTTATAATTGCAAATGTGTATCTTGCAAGAAAAAAAAGCCTAAATTGTGAGATAATCTCAACACTGAGAAAAAAGTCCACAATTACATTTTGTATTTTTTTTAATTCCATGGAGGAAACAGGCTTCCATATATATATATATATATTTAATATAATATAATAAATCTAAATAACAGTCAAGAAAGTCTTCCTGTTCTCTCGGAAACGTGCAAACTTTAAGACATTGGCAACAAAATGAGGTGAAAAAAAAAGATTTTTACACATTGCGTCAGTGCATCATATTTTTGGTCATTTGATCGATGCATCGTTTTACACCCCTAGTATGAATACTTTTGAAAATGGAAAGATTTATAATCATCTGAAATCCATTACATGACATTACACTGTTACATGCACTTGGATTGATCCCTAAAACCAGGAAAGGCTTTAAATGACAAAAGTGGTGTAAAACACAAAATAAATATTCAAATATAAATCAAAAAACATGTTCTTGTCTTCCATTCAACGATAGGCTTAAATTAAATGCTGATTGGCCAATTGAGCTTATTTGTGGCTTTCTTGTTTATCTGGAGAATTTGGATTTTGGTGGGATGGGACGATCACAGATGTGGTTAGTGGGATGAGGTAAAACGCTGGAGTAAGAGTTCAGATGAATCATCTCCCCACTGTGACTTGGCGCAGTCGATTTGGCTTCAAAGCCTCTATCGGTCACACTCGTGGAGATCCCAAATCAAAAGTCTAAACACTGAAGGGAATTCTGGGAGAAGAGGCCCTGTTTTATTCTTCTGTTGCAATGATTCATTTAAAGCTCACATCTATGAGAATGTTGCTACTAGAAAATAAAAAGTGCATAACTTTATTTTACAAACAATGTGAGAGATGATTACTCACCAAAGGAGTACCTGGATAAAAGGAAACAGAGAAATATATGAGATTAAATCCATTTTCATCATTTATAAGTAGGGAAGCCCATTTTCGCAACATAAGAAAAAACATCATGCTTTGGTAGATTGTAATTATGAGATAAAAAGTAAAAATTATGAGATACTGAGTCATACTTATGAGATACGAAGCTATAATTATGACACAATAAGTCATACAAACAGTTAAAGTTATGACACTGTCAAAGTGATAAAGTCAAATTATGGCATAAATCGAAATTATGAGATACTATGTCATATTTATGAGATTAAAAAGTCATAATTATGACACTAAGTCATAGATAAAAAGTAAAGTTATGACATACTAAGTCATAATGGAATAAAGTTGAATTATGACAGTGTTGAAATTATGAGATACTAAGGCAAAATTGATGAAATGCATAATTATCACATTAAAAGTCAAAATTATGAGCTACTGAGTGAGCTGTTGTGAGAAGTCATATTTATGAGATGAAGACAAATTACGCATCTTGTCAATTTATGATAAAAAGTCTAAATTTTGAGATACCAACTCAATTATTAAACAAAAAGTTAAAAGAAAGTTTGAGATGCTAAATCATATTACATAAATTGCATAATTATTACATAAAAAGTCAAAATTATGAGATAAAAAGCCAGAATTATGATGTGAAATGCATATTTATCACCTGAAAAGCTGAAATTATGAGATACCAGGTCATAATTATGAGATAATTATGACAAAAAGTAAAAAATTATGAAGCACAAACAAAAAGAAGCAAAAATCACACTAAAAAGCAAACATTATGACATAGTAAGTCATACTGAGATAAAAAGTCAAATTGTGACATAAAAAGTTATAATTATGACTTATAAATTTGTCATTGTCTTTTTAATCACAATATCGATGTTTTATCTCATAATTACTTTTCATTTTAAGTCACTTTTTTTGTTATATTAGTTTTTATCTCATTGTTTTCACTTTTTGTCATTGTTTTGTCATAATGTCAGCTTTATTTTAATTTTGACTTGATTATGATTATGACTTTTTATCTCATCGTTGTGATGTTTTATGTCATTATGTCATAATCATGACGTTTGATCTCATTATTAAAACTTTAGTATGACATTATTTTGGCTTTTTATGTCATGTAATAATTATAATTTACCGAAGCATAACTTTTTTTCTTAAGTGGAGGAAATGGGCGTCTACAAAAGTCAATGAAATGTTGTAGGTGTGGCAAAAACAGTACATTTTTCTCCAACAAAATGGCATAATTAAATCTAATTTTATTACAATAATAAGACTATTGTTTTAACATGAGAAAGATGAATGCGTGTGTGTGTGTGTACAGGTGTATATATCCTGGAGGGGACTTAAACCTGACTACACACAGACTCTTGGGGACTCGTGTCACGGTGGGGACCTAAATTGTGGTCCCCACGGGTACAAAAGCTTATAAATCACACAGAATTAAGTTTTTTGAAAATCTAAAAATGCAGAAAGTTTCCTGTGAGGGGTAGGTTTAGGGGTAGGGTTGGTGTAGGACAATAGAATATACGGTCTGTATACGGTGTGTGTGTGTGTGTGTGTGTGTGTGTGTGTGTGTGTGCTCACCAAAGCTGTCCGACATTCACAATAGAGTGATACAGGATCCAAAGTCCTCCCATAATGATCATATTGGCACTTCCCATGATTAAAACAAACCCTGACAGAGTCATTCCCGCCAGAGCAATGCCATCCAGGTTGGCATCCATGTCATTCCAGTCCATAAACCAGAGGACTGAAGGAGTGTACGCCAGGGCCGCAAAGCCAATCTTGCCACCCACATAACGCTTGACGCTCCTCAAGTAGTCCTTGCAAGGCATGAGCCCTTTCTCTCCAATGAGCTGTGTGTTCTGGTTGTAAGCGACAGTGAAAGCCACAACTAGAAAGAAAACGAGACAGCAGTGATTATTACAGACAGCTCACCAAAGCTGTCCGACATTCACAATAGAGTGATACAGGATCCAAAGTCCTCCCATAATGATCATATTGGCACTTCCCATGATTAAAACAAACCCTGACAGAGCCATTCCCGCCAGAGCAATGCCATCCAGGTTGGCATCCATGTCATTCCAGTCCATAAACCAGAGGACTGAAGGAGTGTACGCCAGGGCCGCAAAGCCAATCTTGCCACCCACATAACGCTTGACGCTCCTCAAGTAGTCCTTGCAAGGCATGAGCCCTTTCTCTCCAATGAGCTGTGTGTTCTGGTTGTAAGCGACAGTGAAAGCCACAACTAGAAAGAAAACGAGACAGCAGTGATTATTACAGACAGGCTGCATTTCACTAATGTAACCTTATAGGTTTCTATTGCACAGATTAGTAACTGATGAAACTAATTGTGTCTGATCTCCTAGCAACTGCATCCTGCAGAGCTGCCACCTGTCAGACTCACAGTAGATGAAAGCAATGGCTCGCAGCAGCACGATGCGTGTGAGCCAGTAGGTCCCGGTTTGTAACGATACGCCCACTTTCTTGTCATATTTGGTCGAGTCCTCGTCTTGCACTGTCTCGCTGCAGCTGTCGTGTGAAAGACTGTCTGAAACAAGCGCATCGCCACGTCGCTTTCTCAGGAAACTTTCGCTGTTCTCGGAGCTCTCACTGGAGGACGCCATATTTCCGCACGCTCTGCACATGCGTGGGAACTCACGCGCAGCGCAGCGCATCGCACCAATCAGAGGACAATGCGCTTCTTTCTGAGACTGGCGCATCTGCTGTAGCAGCGATGAAATGTTCTTGCTCATGTTAAACGACTCAGTGATTATTGTAAATAACTATTGAAATAAAAACCGTGCGAAAACATCTATATGCTGAGATGTTTAGAAATGCAATTCATTTAAAGATTACAAATATTTCATTATTTCAAATCTGCACCAAAATAAAAATATACCATCACCAAAGACCCTTTCAGCACATTTGGGGGGGGGTATTGTATTTTTATATAATATAAATGTAGTGTGTGTGTGTGTGTGTGTATGTATATATATATATATTAATGTGAAGACCAAATATGTTTTCAAAATTTGCACTTATATAAATATTTGATGTATGCATGCATTTTGTACTTTATATATATCTTTTTTAATAGTTGAATCTTTTTAATAACAGACTCATTTGTGCAGTGAAAACTATGTTTTATATCTTTCACATACCAAATATTAGAATTAAAGTCATGTTTAGTTAGCCTTGGAGAGTTTTCATAATGTATATTTACAACATTTCAAACAACTTTATGGAAACTTAATCTACATTGCTCAAATCAAATTATTCTTGATTGAATGTATATACTATTACATAAAATAATATGATATACATATATAATATATAAATGTAGTGTGCGTGTGTGTATGTGTATGTATATATATATATTAATGTGAAGACCAAATATGTTTTCAAAATTTGCACTTATATAAATATTTGATGTATGCATGCATTTTGTACTTTATATATATCTTTTTTAATAGTTGAATCTTTTTAATAACAGACTCATTTGTGCAGTGAAAACTATGTTTTATATCTTTCACATACCAAATATTAGAATTAAAGTCATGTTTAGTTAGCCTTGGAGAGTTTTCATAAAATACCGTGGGCTAAGGTTGGATTTTTAAGGGAACCCATGAGCAGTTATGGGTTTATGGTCTAATTTGTTAGTCAATTATGTTCAATTAAGTGAAAAGGCTGCTGATGTCCTGTACAGACCAATTGGAGAAGTTGCGCAAAAGCCTCTCTCTCCTCCAATGAGAGGAGAGAAGGAGGAGTGCGAGAGTATAGAAACCTCAGAAAAACTTCACTCCTACCAACAAGTTGGGAAATGTTGCCAGTGCATTCACCAGTGTTGATCGACCGAGCATTGAGATTCAAGAAACCAATAAATCGAAAGGTTTATTTGGAGTATACGCTTCAAGCCAACGCGCGTTACGCGTAAAATGCGCACGTAACCGCTGGCTGATTATTGTCACGTTTTGTTCATCTTTGTTAACGTTTCATCAGCGAGGATTTTAAAATGTCAAAAGAGCCGGATAAAACTCCTTATATCGGCGATGTGGACTCCGATTCGCCGTCTTCTCCTTCAATGTCCGACGAACAAGGCTCGCAGACCCAAACCGGCGCCGGTAACCCGGCGGACAGCGAGGAAGATGCCCGCTTCCCCCCGTGCATTCGAGACGCGGTGTCGCAGGTCCTCAAAGGCTATGACTGGTCGCTGGTGCCGATGCCTATGCAAGGCCGCAGGTCTTTGAAAGACAAGCCTCATGTGAAGAGACCCATGAACGCGTTTATGGTGTGGGCGCAGGCGGCGCGGAGGAAGCTCGCGGATCAGTATCCACATCTCCACAACGCCGAGCTCAGCAAGACCCTCGGCAAGTTATGGAGGTACGTGGACTTCAGTTCAACACCACGGAGATCGATGGATCACACTTTACATGACAGCATGTACATAATGCATGGCGTATTTACGCAAAGAAATACGGAGCTCTACTAATTAACAGCATTAATGCTGGCTCATGAATGGCGAGCACTTCTTTAGCTAGTAGCTATTTGAATGTTACTAGTACTGATTTTTAGCCTAAGTTTCTTTTTAACGTCACTATGAACTAAATCAGATATTGGTACTTACTAGGATTTATTTCACTTTCCCAGAGCTAATTAAACAGACACGCACTTGAATTAGACACCAAAATGTCTTAATAGTAAGATTTTGAATTCAACTGTAAACCAACCATTAAGATTAGTTATTTGACAAGCAATAAAACAAGTGTAACTGTTGGAATCAGTTGGTATTGATACTAGTTTCTCATAGGTACAAGACTAGTTAAGTACTAGTAAAACATGCAATACTATTCAGTAGAACTCAGAAAATTTGTAATTTGTTGCAAGTAACACATGGAATACTTGTCAGTATTAGGATAAAGCCTAATTTGTTAACAACTAACAATATTTTTACAGCATTAATTAATCTTTGTTCATGTTAGTTAATAGTTCATGTTAATGTTAGTTCACAGTGCATGCTTAAAACGTGTTTGTAAATGTTGACAGAGTAATAAATGTTGTATTGTTTTGTTAATGTTAACTAATGTAATTAATGTTAACAAATGAACCCTTATTGTAAAGGGTTACCAAAAGTACTAGTTTACTAACTGAATATGTACTAATATAACTGTTGGTAAACAGAGATAGTATTAAATTTCAGTAGCTACTAGTAAAATGTAAATAGTTTAAGGAAATAAATGCAATGTGGAGCTGCTTGTAAACCATCTGATGTGTGTTTCCCAAACTATGGTGGTAAGTTCTAGTGAACTCTATTGGTAACGATAGAACTTGCAACCATAGCTGCTTTTGAAAAATGCATCCCTGGTTTGTTGCTGGATCGAGACGGTCTGCACCAGCTTCAAACCAGCTGCCATCTAAATCTGGATTTATTTTTCATCATTCACACACGACTGTTTTAATTCACTTGTGCGCTTTTTCATTCCATGCTTTGCAACGGACGGCCACACCAATCATCCAGGCTGCTCTCTGAGAGCGAGAAACGACCGTTTGTGGAAGAGGCAGAGAGACTGCGGCTCCAGCACAAGAAAGACTATCCGGATTATAAATACCAGCCGCGGAGACGGAAGAGCCTGAAGCCGGGTCCGAGTGAACTGGACACGGGAGCTGAGAAGAACCCTCACGCCTCGCATCAAGTGTACAAAGTGGAAGCGGGTATGAGAGGGATGCACCATCAACAGGTCCATGGTGGTGAGTTATGAAAGAGCTATTGTCTTACAGTTTGGGTTGTGTCATACTTTTTATCACACTCTTCAAAATAAAGCTTCCATAAAGGGGGTTTTCCCAGCGATGCCATTGAAGAACCATTCTGAGTTCCTCAAAGAACCTCCAGTAAAAGAACCTTTTTTTATTAGTGTAAATGTGTAATGGAAATATTCCAAGAATGCTAAAAGTTCTTCATGGAGCCATCAATGCCAATAAAGAACCTTTATATTTAGTGTAGAAGTGTAGAAGATCCATTTTTGGTTCTTCAAAGAACCTTTAAGTGAACAGTTCTTAAAAGAACCAAATAAAGGTGCTTCACGATGCCACAGAAGAACCTTTTTGTCTAAATGGTTCCATAAAGAACCTTTAACATCTGAAGAACCTTTCTGTTTCACAAAAGCTTCTTTGTGGCGAAAGAAGGTTCTTCAGATTATAAAAAGGTAAGAAAGAGATGGTTCTTTTAAAGAACCTTTGACTAAATGGTTCTTTGTGGAACCAAAAATGGTTCTTCTATGGCATCGGTTGAAGAACCTTTTGAAGCACCTTTATTTTTAAGAGTGAAGAACATTTTAATCACTTTTTTTTCCATAATAAAGAACTTTTTTGTCCTTTATGGACTTTTACTTGAAGAACCATATTTGGTGCCCCAAAGAACCTTCCACTAAAAGCGTTCTTTAACAATCTAAAATAAGTTTTTTCATTATAATAAACCTTTTGTGGAAGATTCCATGTATGTTAAAGGTTCTTAATGGAACTATTATAATGCCAATAAGGTACATTAATTGATCAGAGCGTAGAAGAAACATTTTTGGTTCTCCGAAGAATCTTTAAATGAACAGTTCTTAAAAGAACCCTTTTATTTTAATAACCATTTTCCATAATAAAAAACAGTTTGCCCAATGGAGAGTGACTACATGGATTTTAAACAGTCTTGATGGAATCATTAATGGCAACCATTGAGTTTGGTTCTCCAGAGAACCTTCCAGTCCACTTTTTTTAAAAGAACCAATTTTTCGTAGTGTAAATAACATTTTAATAACCCTCTGCTATAAATAATCTTTTGTGCAGTGGGAAAGTTTCATGGATGTTAAATGTACTTGATGGAACCATCAATACCAATAAAAAAGAACCATTATTTTTAATGTGTAGAAGAACCATTTCTGGTTCCCCAAGGAACCTTTAAATGAACAGTTCTTAAAACATCAATTTTTTTCTTTTTTTAGGTTTAGGAAAAAACCATCAATGCCAATAAAGAACCTGTCGAAGAAATAAAGGTTCTTTATTGGCATCAATGGTTCCATGAAGAACCTTTACCATCCATGGAACCCTTCCATTCCGCAAAAGGTTGTTTATAGTGGAAAAAGGTTCTTTAGATTTTTAAAATGTTCTTCTAAGGAAAAGGTCACTGGAAGGTTCTTTGGGGAAGAGCGTAAAGAACCTTTATTTTTTCCACCTCAACCCAACAAAACACATTCGATGTTTCCAACCCAGCTCAACCTCACGGTCCTCCTACACCTCCAACCACCCCGAAGTCCGATCAGCATCAAAACGCCAAACTGGAGTCCCGGCCTGCGTCGGAAAACGCAAGACACAACATCGACTTCAGCAACGTGGACATCTCGGAGCTCAGCAGCGACGTCATCGGCAGCATGGGCCCGTTTGACGTGCGTGAGTTCGACCAGTACCTGCCGTTAAACGGCCACATGGAGAACAACGGTGGGCCGCACTCCAGTCCTGGCTGTTTCAGCGCATCCTACCACCATCATCCTCACGGCAGCACTTTGGCATGGAACAAGGGGTCCGGGTCACCGTCTGCATCCTCGCACAACGGCGCAAACCAACAAAGACCGCTCATTAAAACAGAACAATTGAGTCCTTCTCATTACGGAGAGTCTCACGGGTCACCGACCCAATCTGAACTGACCGACTGTCCAGACCTGCAGAACTCGACGTACTTCACCACATTTTCCGGGTATCCCGCTGGCATTTATCAATATCCGTACTTCCATTCCTCCAGAAGATCATACGTGACTCCTGTTCTCAACAGCTTGTCGAGTTCGTCTCATAGTCCCGGGGCGAGCTGGGAGCAGCCAGTTTACACGACTTTAACACGACCCTGATGCCAAGTTTTGGGTCAGAGATGTCTGATGCTGAGAATTATGGGACTGTGTTTTGTACCGAAGTAAATCTTTCTAAAAATCTTGCCATTTCATAGACTTTTCTGGTAATTGTGACCTTTAGATTTTCCTAACAGATTTTGGATTCACTTTTCAATATCGAGTGTTTTGTGTTTGTATTATGGCCTGGATAGAAGTGTTTGTTTTTTTGGAGTGAGATGCGATAGACTGTCAATATTCAATACGCTATTTAAACGCAATCGTGGATTTGTCTTGATAATATGCAATTAAAATGTAGAACGAATGAATGTGCGGTACCGCCTGATGTCTTCATTGTTGATAAAGGCCGAGTCTAACTGTCAAACGGGCAGAATAACTCATGCTTTCATCACAATTTGAGTCCAAAACGAAGCTGTATTTGAATATCGGAGAGATGCTGGATCATCTGTGGTTTACAAAGCCAAGAATCAGCAAAAGGGAGAGCAGAAAAGAGAGAGGGCTGATTCTGAATGACAGCGTCTCAAAGGGCTCTTTGTTTTCATTATAAAAGAGGCATTAATTAAGGGAGGGAACAAAACAAAACAAATACAAAGCAGAAAATCATTATAACTGCCGTTACATGAAAGAAGAACGCATGAACAGACACTACCCTCTGCTATTTGGATAAACAGCAACAAAAGCAGCAGAAAATGCATAAATTGAGTGCAGGATAAGAGAATAAGTTCTTCATGTGTGGAAAAGAGCCAGTGATTCCACAGCAGATGGGTGTGGGTGGACTAGGACTTGTTTTCCTTTCACTATGTTTTATTGCATTGATGATTTTTGAAGTGGAGAATGTAATTAGTGTTGATATGTACAGCACGCATCATTGTGCTCGCTGACATTATTGGGTCTTAAAACTGGACGGTACGCAGTAAGCACTACAAGATGTAGTGTCTCTTATGATTTTGATTTCTAGTTATGGTGTGTTATGTGGAGTTCTTATTGTATTCAGCTCTTTGGACCCTGGTTTCTGAAAGTTTTGCTCTCAGAATTTTTCTGTTGACATTTGGAGAGCATGATGATTGTGATCTCTAGTGCAAGAGCCAATAAACAATGACAAAAAAAATCATGCTGAGCCATTAAATAGACCCCCACATAAAAACAACATCAGGACTGTTAGAAATGAAAAACTGACTATGATTACAGCAGATCAAAGTTCAATGTATAACACATGAGGCTTGTTCTGTAATAAACCATAATTAACTATTTAATATACATATATGCCAACAAACTTACAGCTAAATATTAAAGAACTTACATTTAATACACAATATTTGCAGTTACTTTGTCTGTTTGTGATCCACCAATGAACATCTCTGAGCAGAAGGCAGTAGTGCTGCTTCGTTCTTTAATGAATTAGTGCTTTTGAACAAATGGGTTGAGTAATTGATTCAATGACTCGCTTAGAAATACAGTCACCTGTTTCACTGAATAAATGAATCATTCACTTTGATCGAATCAGTTGAATGAATGACTTAATGGCTTACGCATGATGATTTCATTTGTAGCCACCTACTGGTGTACTCAAGTATTATTTTTGCTGGAAATGTATACAAAAAATAATGATAATAAAGATTTGAATATATAGGCATTTAAAATATTTTATTATTCGTTTTAAAAAATATTAAAAGAGTTTGAATAGGTAAAGAAGATATGTTTAAAAAGAAATGGTCAAAATTAATGAGTTTTTTGAAGATTAATTTAGTTTTCACTTAATTAATAAATAAGTATATAATTGATTTATTAGATCAATTAATACTATATATTTTTTATTTGTAAGTTTAAAGGCATAATGTTTGAGAAATTAAGGAATTGTGTGCTTTTACCTGATATTAATCTTTATTTATTAATTTATTTTTCTTTTTATTTATTGATCTATTTTATTTAGTTGAATGATTCAGTTGAGTAATTGATTCAATGACTCACTTATAAATACAGTCACCTGTTTTGCTGAATGAATGAATCTGTGTCTTTGAACAAATTGTCTGAATGAAGGAATCAGTGACTCACTAATTAAGGAATTTGTCGCCACCTACTGCTGCAACTAGAAACACACACACACACACATACACACACACACACACACACACACACACACATACCAAACCTCAAATTAAAAAATAAAATAAATAAATCCCCACCAGGAAGAAACAGACTGACAGTCTGTCTGAATCACAAACAGAATGAAAAGTCCCAGTGCTTCAGCCTATCAAATTCAAGGACTGGAACTAACTGCTGTGAGCTGCAATCTATTATAAATGTTAGTGATACGGGAGGCATATATCCAAGACATAATGTGTCTGACAACTTGGACAGCAAACATGCATCTTCTAAACGAACAACAGAAGTTGCACAAGTCAGAATAACATGTTAGGGGCAAAATTCATGTTCTTTGATGTCAATAAATATTCAAAACAAGGCTTTTTGTGTAGTGAGTGGTGTGTGATTGGCAGCTGCTGCGATGCTCTCAAGAGTCTTTACCCTCCTGGATCAGGCTGATGAAGTAAATAGGATGGCTAGTGCTTGAGCGACTCCACCCTAATTTAATGATTTCCTGCTGGGCTGCAAACAGCCTCCTGCTGTGTCTGTGTGAGTTAGTGTCTCCCAACTTCACTCGCTCAGCCCGGACGCCAATGACAACAAGCAGCCAGACAGAACCAACATTGACTTACCCACAATTCCACAGGGCAGTGGAGCCAGGCTGATGGGGAAGAAAGGCAGTGGAATGCATCAGGTCAGGCAACGGTATCTGACAAACCCCTTCAACACACACACACACAAACACACTGGTGTTCCTATCACTATGGGGACATTCCATAGACATAATGGTTTTTCTACTGTACAAACTGTATTTTCTGTGCCCTTACCCCAACCCTACCCCTCACACAAAACTTTCTGCACTCAAAAAATAGTACTGGTATTACTATCCTTGTGGGGACATTTTATCCGCATAATGTAGGGAATAACAGGTACACACACACACACACACACACACACAAACACTCATACAGTCACAATTACAAACACACACACACACACAAACACTCATACAGTCACAATTACAAACACACACACACACATATCAAGGTTCTGAGTAAAAACCACAAACAAATAGAAATAGTCAAATATCTTTTAAAGTGTACATTTTCTATGCATTTAACTTTATTATATATTAATTCAGTATATACAGCAGTATCATTGAGATACTTGTTTTTTTTAAATATTTGAATTAAATTTGTTTTGTATTTTCATTTTCATTTCATTTCAGTTAAAGTTTTAGTATTTTTGTGTATTTTATTTGTATTAGTTATTTTAGTTAGTTTTTTAAACATATCTATATTTTTATTACATTTTGTTTATATACATTTGTTATTTACGTTTGTAACTAGCTAAAATAAAACAAGTAAAATTTTAATAATTATTATATATAATATATAATAATAAGATATTACTATCAATTGTATATAATGATAATAATTAGTCAATATTAATATAAAGAAAAAATACAATTTCTTATATTCAATTTCAGTTACTTTTGCTTCAACTAACAACATGCTTTTTTATTATTATTTTAAATTTAGTTTACTGTAATAACCCTGCTGAACAAAAATAAATTCAACTCAAATCAACATTTCATGTCCACATGTTTATTTATGTATTAAGTAGCTGGATAATAAGCTGGATCATGTACAGTCAGACAGTCATGATCACAAAATAAACCACTCTTATTTTGTTTACTTTGACATAATGACTGGCCACAGAATGTACATTATCCTTTACCATGGTACAAGTCCCCAAAAACAAACCCATGGTAATCCCATGATACGTTTTTGATGGTAAACATTCACTAACCCTTATTTGAAACAAATGAAAAGAAAAACACCTGAATAGCATCATCATAACCTGAACAAGAGGGCCGGAGTTACATTACAGGAGCTGTGATACGCATCAGATTATTATTATTACAACCTGCCATCTAAACATTCATATCCATTATCAAATCTGTAGAATATTCTAATGTATTCTTCAGAGTCAACAGAAGTAGTCTGGCTGAAATTAAGGATGCTGTATATAAAGTAGTGGTCAACCAAAGTGTGCGTTTTTAAAAAAAAAAATCATATACCAATATTTATGCTGATGACCAATATAACGCCGATATATATATATATATATATATATATATATACACACAAAATGCAATTTAATGACAGCAAATGAGATTGCTTAAATTAAATAGATGCTTATTTTGCAATAAAAATATTACTTTGACATAATGACTGGCCACAGAATGTACATTATCCTTTACCATGGTACAAGTCCCCAAAAACAAACCCATGGTAATCCCATGATACGTTTTTGATGGTAAACATTCACTAACCCTTATTTGAAACAAATGAAAAGAAAAACACCTGAATAGCATCATCATAACCTGAACAAGAGGGCCGGAGTTACATTACAGGAGCTGTGATACGCATCAGATTATTATTATTACAACCTGCCATCTAAACATTCATATCCATTTTATCAAATCTGTAGAATATTCTAATGTATTCTTCAGAGTCAACAGAAGTAGTCTGGCTGAAATTAAGGATGCTGTATATAAAGTAGTGGTCAACCAAAGTGTGCATTTTTAAAAAAAAAATTATATACCAATATTTATGCTGATGACCAATATAACGCCGATATATATATATATATATATACACACAATGCAATTTAATGACAGCAAATGAGATTGCTTAAATTAAATAGATGCTTATTTTGCAATAAAAATATTTAGGCCTAAATTAAATATTTATGTATTTGAAATGCACATAAAATTTGGATTTAACATAAAACAAACTTAATGTGATGCGTATTTGTAAGTCATACAGAAATGAAACAGGTCTGCAAGTAAAAATCGGTTTGATTTTATTTAAATAATAATAATAATATTTAATTGCTTAGAATCAGCATGCATTTGTGAAATCAATCACATTTATGCAGTTAAAAATGTTTAATGTTTAAACTATGGCTATTTAAAACAGAAACAAACAGGATTTATTAATAAATTAAATATATATAAACCTGGTTATTGTGCATTTAAAACACATTTAGTTTATTTGGCCTGTTTCATTTATATACGATAAATATGCATCACGTTAAATTCAATCCACATTTTATATGCATAAATATTTTTTAGGCCTAAAAATGTTGTCGAGTGTACCTATTGACTAAAGATAAGGGGAACTATCACTAGTTTTATTCAGTCAACTTGGTTTTCAGCAGATAATCTCCAAATGGCCAAATATCGGCCGATATATCAGTCTAAGGCTAATATCAACCCTACTTTGCATAAAAAGAAACAGTGCTGAGCACATGCATCTTAATCTGGGATATGCTTCCACCTAGTGGAGGAGGATAAATCAAGAACAGAACCGTCTGTAGAAACCTGACATACTGCACCTGCACAGACACCAGATGTAGTATGTACTGTAGTATATGAAACCTCTGCTTATACTGGTCACACTAACATGGTTTTCACACATTTAAATGATCAATAATGATGAATGAAAGCCCAAGACGGTCAGAAAGGACACTCGGAGTGGTGTAGCTTGGCGTCTTGAGGATCCACTAAATGTCACAGCAGCATTCGCTTGGAAAATCCAATAAATAACATCAGTCAGAACGCACTGTGGTGTTTAGTACTTGCTCACCTTGTGATTTACAGATTAAATGTTAGGTTTAAGAGCGATGAACAACATTCGCATGCCATATGTGTACAGTAGCTCGGCTGACGGCACCCTTTGGTTACACATTCATGATAAGTAAGCCTCAGTGTCGGCGCTCTGTTGACGTCTGCGACACAGTGCAGCATCCGAGCCGTTAGCACTAAATCAAGGTAGGAAGGGGCCGTTTCTTGTACTCGCTCGGTCCGGAGCACTTCATTGGACAGAATAGCTGTTCATCGTGCAGTCCGTCCCGCCTGCAGCACACACACACGCGCACACACACACAGGCAGGTTTACAGCCAGCATCAAGGCTTGTGCTTGAAATGAGCCTCAACTGCAAAGAGAAAGAGATACAGTCAGTTTCTCAGATTCCGATTTGGAGAGTTTCTTTCTGTGGCGCGAGTGTGTTTGCGTACCTGCGTACTCCTGCGGCATCATGGGGCGGTTGACGACTCTCTGAAAGGCAGCGATCCAGTCCTTCTGCTCTGCTTCGGTTTCACAAGCAAACAGG